CTGGACGGCAGCTCACCACGGCTGCTGGCTACACACAGTAGCCCATGGCAACCCACTGCAGCAGGGGCTGCAGCCTACGCCATCGCCAGCAACTCATGGCAGCCCAGCTCCAGGTTGAGCTGTTGTTCAGCACCTTAGCTGTGGAGGGCAGTGTCACTGGCCCTCATATGTGGGATCCGAACCGGGGCCCTCTGGCATCCCAAGCCAGCTCTTAACCATTGCGCCACTTGGCCGGCCGTGGGTGCGTCTTATACAGTGGTTGTACGAGCGCAAAAACAAGTGTGAAAAAAGCAGGAAATGTAAGTTAAAAAAATCTACACCTACCGTATAAGACACACCTAGTTTTTAGACCCCAAAATTTTCGAAAAAGGGTGCATCTTATACATGGGGAAATACAGTAACATTTAATTACCATTTACACCCATATGCCTGGCACTGTGCTGCCTCCAGTTTGAAGTGCTTCTGCCCTCCAGAAGTTCAGTCTGGTGCTTAAGACAGAAAGGTGGAAAAGCAGTGAGTTTCACTATAAGAAAAACTATCAAAAAGAATTTTTTGTTTACTCTTTCTTTGCCCAACTCAGATCTTCTACATGGGAAAAAGAGTAACTTATTTGATTGGTCAGATCTTGTCATTCATTGTGCAAGTTACAGGTATACGGAATTATTAACTCTAAAAAATATTTGTTTTAATGCTCTTTTTCCTGCCCAAGCTCAAGAGCAATGACTTCTTTTTACTCTCTGTGGTTTTCTGTCTCCATGAAACAAGGACACTCACAGCAGGCACAGGGATTAGCCCCTGGTGCAGCAGGAGAAAAATATTAGAACTCATCAATTTCTTTAACAAATAAAAAAATAAGCACACACAGCTGACTGTAAGTAGTAGACAAACATTCTAAGGAAAAGTGAGAGTTTCATGCTCAGAGGGGTTCTTATCAGTGCCCTCATGCTTTCAAGGTATTGAGTTTGCTAGTTAAGTGGATTGGCCATTTACATGACCTTAAGTAGTAGAATATTTGGTCTGCTTTACAAATAGATGAGGACTGATCATAAAAAATAGCATGGCAAAGCATTTTCAAAAGTTGGCAAACATAAAGATGTATCATGCACTTGGCTTTTACAAAAGGCAAATGTTCCAAATTTGCTAACATTGTCTGTGATGGCAAATGGCTGTTAGTAGTATGTAAACTAGCAAATATTTTTTAAATATATATTTCTTAATCTGTCCTTTCAGAGTAAGGTGGTTACATTTTAATGAGTGTGACAATAACTCTCTCGTTGAAATAAGCTCATGTTAAGGTGAGAAGATTTTGAAAACTACTGGAAATATTTTCATCTAATGTTATTTTATGTGTGTGTAAATATGTTATCATCATCCTAGAAGCTCATAGTATTACACTTTAAAAACTTAGAAACAATTTTATTTGTTTAAAAATCTCACAATGAAGAGTTTCAGCAGGTTAGGAGACCATTTTTCCTTTTAAATATTAAAAAAATGCAATGCCTTCCAATTAGTTTCCTAGAATAATTAATCAAAGAAGATGACATTTTACTGATAAAATCTGAACTAAAAAGTTTGCATAACAGAACAGAAACGAGTACTATGATTTTCTAGGCACAACCAAGATGCACCTCTTCCATTTTGGAATTTCAAATCTTTGAAGGTATCTTTTTCAAATATAATAGCATTAAAAACAAGTACTGAAATAAATGTGCTTTAGAACTAGACCTTTAAATCACTACAGAACAAAGTATTAAATCAAGCTTTTCAAAAATAGTGATGTTTATGAGTTTTGTACCACTAATAAATAAAGTGGAATTAAAAATCATTTTTAGTAGGGGGAAAAAAACTCAGAAAAAGAGATCACACTTGTAGTTACCAGAAGTGGCGGGTAGGAGAGGGAAAATTGTAGGAAGGTAGTCAAAAGACACAAACTTCCAGTTATAAGATAAATAAGTGGTAGGGGTGTAATGTCTAACATGATGACTATATAACTAACACTGCTGTATGATATATATGAGTAGGAAAATGATTAATATATCCTAAGAGTTGTTGTCATCACAAGGAGAATGTTTTTCTTCCTTTTTTCCTTTATTCTAGCTTTTCTTTTTATTGTATCTATATGAGAATATGAATGTTAGCTGAAATTACAGTGGAAATCATTCCACAATATATGTCTCAAACCATAAAAAAATCATTTTTAGGAACATTGCATATATTTTTTTAATTTTTTGTATATTGTAGAATTTATATACAGAGGGTGCCATATAT